CTTGCTGTTGTGTCGAAGGCGACCTGTCGTGTGAAACACCGGGATCCTCAGGATTGCCTGTTGTCATCAGTTTCGAACTAGGCTCTAGCTGATGGCCTGATATAAATGATGTACTCGAAGTAACAACATCAGGACTTCCATTCCGTCCTTGGTCGACATCTATAGGAGATGCGCCTCGGAATGTTTTGTCTAGCTCGACCATGCTAGAAACAGAGGCTAGGGATTTGTGGTTGGCTGAAGTAGTGGGTTGCTGATTGGTAGAGGTGGAGGGTTGGTTTAGCTGCGGGGCTTGGCTTGTAGAAGCAACATGCTCAAGTATCTGCTGGCGCTTGTTCTTGTAACACTTGAGATTTAATTTAAACGGATTAATAGTACTACTCATACCAACAGAGGTGCATCTCCTTTTAAGGGAACTCATCACCCAAGAACTCCAAAGTTAAGCGTGCTTGCACGTGAGCAGTCTTGGAATGGGTGACCCCCTGGGAAGTTTCTCAGGGCACGCATGAGTGAGGACAAAGTGCGCGGTAAAGGCTCGTGGTGGTTTGTGAGGACAGTACTAGAGGTCCGTAGAGGTTCGGAGTAACTACCTCGGGTCTCGTGGGACCGGGGTGTTATAGGTGGTATCAGAGCAACCTTGCGACAGTGTGCTGACCCGTTGGATATCGGGCGGGCACTTAGCAGGGGAGGATTCTGGGATTTGATTGAGATTTGAGATTGGTTTATGGGCGCAACGAGGACGTTGCATTCCTAAGTGGGGGTGATTGTAACACTTGAGATTTAATTTAAAGGGATTAATAGTACTACTCATACAAACAAAGGTGCATCTCCTTTTAAGGGAGCTCATCACCCAAGAACTCCAAAGTTAAGCGTGCTTGCACGGGAGTAGTCTTGGGATGGGTGACCCCCTGGGAAGTTTCTCAGGGCGCGCATGAGTGAGGACAGTACTAGACGTCTAGAGTAACGCTCATATTTATAGGCGCTGTACAAGTTACCGAATTAGGTAAACCTTGGGTTTGAGCCAAGGCCTTTTTGGGCCTTATTCCCTTTAACTCATTTATTACAAAATGATTACTAATCTAATACCATAAATGATATATCTAGTCTACTTTATTAAACAAGACATTACAGACAAACTTGACTCACAACTAAAGCTTGGCAAACCCTTTAAGATGGAAAAACGCACCATATGTAAGTATGTAACTCATAAATATAAAGCCATGCAATGATGCTTAAATACAATGCACCATTACAATCAAAGAAGAAAAAGAGTTATACTCGAATTGCCCCAGTATATATACACCTTGTATAGGATTCATTACAATACAAAGAATAAACAATAAATAAAAGGAAAATTTAAGAAAATAATTTACTCCCAAATCTCTTTTGGCCAACTCTGTCCCAAATCAACAAATAATGGCAGCCATTGAGCTCCATCAAAATGTCACAGATTACATACTGTTCAAAAAAAGAAAAAACGAAAACTCAGTTGCACAATAAAGATAAGAAATATAGGAGGGAAGGAGTAGGTGACTGGGTCGGTGGGAAGAAAATATATAAAAGAAGCATGATATGCTTAGCTTCCTTGACATCCTCGATCATAAGAAACGCTAGCTCTTCAATTCGTTCCAGTAAGCTTTTTGTTTAAGCCTTTGAACTTAGCAAGTATTGATCGAATCCCTCAACTTGTAAGTAGCAAACCTAAGCCTCGATCACTATATTGAGCACCTTAATTCATAACTATTGCATGCGGCTACAATAAAAATTCTATAGATAGAATTAGTGTTGGGATCCCTCCTTAATTGGAGAGGTTCTAGAAAATTCTAGAGCTTTTTGGAGAAGTATAGAATTTTCTAGAAAGTTCTGGAGAATCCTAGAGAAGTCTAGAACTCTCTAGAAGTTTGTGGAATAGTGTGGAATCCTCTAGAATATTCTAGAGATGTGTGGAACCTTCCGGAAGCTTATGGAAGAGTATGGAAGGATATGGAATAGAGTGGAAGAGTATAGAGCCTCCTAGAGTGTGTGGAGCATTCTAGAGAATCAATCTCCACCCTTGGATAGAAATCATCTCCACCATTCATTGTAAAGGTGGAGTAGTATAAATAGGAGTAGACGTCTCCATTCCTAACGATCCTAGCCAAGAGAGAATCCACTTCTTAGAGTGAGAAAGCTAGAGAGTTAGAAAGCCTCTTTGAGAGAGAAGAGAGATAGCTTGGGAAGTTCCTATCCTCAAGCTTGAGTAGCCGCCATTGAGTGAGACAATTTTGTAACATCCTTGTAAATCCTACTATTCTTTTGTATAGTGGAAGAATCTCCATACTGGAGAATTTAAATCGTGTGCTCCAATTGCTACCTTGATTCCTAAGTGCCTATCTTAACTTCACGAAGCGGGAAATTCCGGAGTTTCCCCCAACAATTAGCTAGTCCTCATAAGAGAAGAGGGAGGAGGACTTGGCTTTTAGATGAATGAGTTGGTATTTTAATATACTGCTACTACGTCCTAAGAGCTCTTCTGGAAAACCCTAAATTATAACATGTTTCTTGCATGTGTGGAGTAAAATGTTTTTTCATTAGTTGTAGACACCTACAATCTTTTCTCCAGCAGTTTCTAGGAGAGGTGATAATATTGGTTAGTAAGAAAACTATATTGAAAACCTTTTAAGCTTAAAAAATATTATGCCAAGCTTAAAAGGAGAGTAATAAGTAATAACCCAAGCTTAAGAGCTTAAAATAAGAAAACCTTTCAAAGCTTAAAGAAAACTATGTCAAGCTTAGAAGCTTAAATTAAGGAAACCTTTTTTGAGTTTTTTTCTGCAAAACTATTTTTTTTAGAAATGGGAAAACTTCTCAAGGTTATACCCGACTTAGTCTTTTTTATAGTGTTAAACATTTACCCTGTACCCCAAACTTTTTAGGATGCATTTAGATATACCCCTAGAAAATACGGAGTTGTACATTGTATTATTCCCAATGTCCGATTCCAAGGCAGAAAAAGGGAAAACGTGTTCTACATTTGTGCATTGCGAGATACAAAATGCTTCTTAGTTTGTAATTCCACGACTTTCTAGCCACATTGGGTGTATGAATATCCCAAAAAAATGATGTGGATATTGAAAATTATTTGATATTTTGGACTTGATATTTTATGGCGGTCCATAATATTATTAAACTCATTCAAATGCTACCGGGCTATTCTCAATCATATTGGACCTCGTTTGGATGCTAATGGGTCAACGTTGAATTATACTGGGCTGCTCGTGATAATTGTTGGGCCTTATTTAAAGGGAAATATTAATATGAGCCCATCCAGAGAAAAATTAGTGATTGAATTATTTTGGGCCATTTAAAATACCAAATTAATTCAATTATAAATTAAGTCTTAAAAAGAATGGACGGACCTATTAATTTCTTTGTTTTAAGCCCGATATTAAATAATGGCCCAACATGCAAGAGACATGATTTAATTTATGAAGAGAGTGATGAATCTTGTTAAGAAATCTATCCAAATGCATGAGAAATGGTTGCGAACCTTGTTAAAAAAGCTGTCCAAATACACCGGACAAATGCTGATTTTTCTAGCTATTAAAATGCGAGCAAATAGAGCCTGAAACCCCTTTTAATAAGGGCCCAAGGGGTATGGACGAATTTCCCAAACCCTGATGCATATTTTCAGATCTTCCACACCTATAAATAGGGGTCTTAGTTGAGAGAAAGGGAGGGAACTTTCAGACGAAGAAACGCTGCAGAAAAACTCTGAAGAACTCCCGAAAGACTCTGAAGGATTCCGAAGCATCGGAAGATATCAAGCCACGTTATTTTGTCAAAAATATATGAATAATACTTTGTGATTTCATCTATTCTTGATCAAACAAAGCCAAAAGTTGAAGAACGTTTGAAGATCTGAAGAACGAAGCTTGAAGATTCGAAGATCTGAAGAACGAAGCTTTAAAGATTCGAAGATATGAAGAACGAATCTTTGAAGATTTGAAGATATTCATATGAAGGTTGAATCAAGATTCAATTGAAGATCAAGCCATATATCCCGGGAGGCCCTTAAACAAAAGATCAAGCCATAAAACGACCCTTTTGTTGAAGATCGAGCCACTTGAAAACCGGAGGCCCTTTCAAGCTGAATTCCTTATTCAAGAAGATTTGAAGATCTGAATAACGAAGATTCAAAGATTCGAAGAACGTTCGAATATTTGAAGAATTAGAGATTTAATTTTAAATTAAATTCTTGGGAAAGTTCCCGAAATGGGACTAAAAAAGTTCGAAAATTCCAAAATAGGACTGCCATGTTTTTATTCCCAAAATAGGACTAATTACTGGCAAATTTGGAAAATACTGCCATGTTTGAAGTCTGGTACTGCCAAAACATGACAGTAATTAGTCCTGTTTTGGGAATAAAAACATGGAAGTCCTATTTTGGAATTTTCAAACTTTTTTAGTCCCATTTTGGGTAATATCTCTTAATTCTTTAATTATATTCATATCAAATTGCAAGTGAAGAACCAGGGGATTCATATTTAGAGATTGTACCCAATATTATCATATATTATTATTCGCGATCAATTTTAAGTAAATACTTAAAATTTGTTTCACAAATTTTTGACAAAAATTTGTGACAAAAACCCCAAAATAAGGTCGACAGAAACCCTAGACCAGACGAAACTTGTCAGATATCAAAGCAACTCCCCACACCGGAGCACATACCCATACCAAGAATCTCATAGAATGGATGTCACCTTACTTTCCAAGGAAGATGTTAATGGCAGCGGCCAATTATAATCTCTTTATGATTGTCGATCAGAGGAAAAAATAATTGCCTGCTAGGATTTATTGTGAGGTCGACTCTCAAAACGACTCTCATTAATTGAATTCAACAAAGTATTTTATTTATTTGATAGACGTTTACTAAATCAGACCAATTTAGATCCCGATCAACAAATTTCAGTCCAAGTAAATAATATTGGTCACCTATGTACTTGTCTAATTATTGTTAATTTTTGTTGTGTATGGGTTGACCCATGGGGTTCCGATTGACCTGTGAGCGGGTGTTGTGGACAGGTCTTCCAGGTCCGGCTTTCCGGTCAGGATATAGCCTTCAACCGCACCGTCACCATTTTCGCTCCTGCATCCTTCAAAGATTCTCACCGATTCCTTCTCTTCTGTCGATCAGAAGCCCTTATCTCCATGGGAGAATCTCGTGACTCCTTCGTCCATCACGCTCTTGGCGGCGGCACAGGTTCTCATCTCCGCTACTACCGCTGCCATTATCTGCGAAATTCGTAAATGCATGATCAACAGAGTTCTATTCTAATTGATCAAATTCGGTTTTATTACATCGATGTTTTAAATCTCCTTCCCTTTGAGATAAATCAACCGATTAGTTAAAAACTCATGAGTGCAATAGAAATTGACGCATTCGTGTTTTAACTGTTCTGATCGGAGGAGTATTCTAAATCGGATAGTGTGCGATTCTTTTTTGTGGCAGTTGCCGATGTGTTGTTGTGGAGGACGTGGTATGGTAGTGTCGCGGCGCTCTTAGGCTCCACTGCATTGTGGTTCCTGTTTGAACGAGCAGGCTATAATCTACTCTCCTTTCTTTCCAATGTGCTTTTGCTTCTAGTTCTAATTCTTTTTTTCTGGGCTAGATCTGCTTCACTTCTCAACAGGTAACGTCTTATCTCTTTTTTCTTCCTGCTGCTTAGGTTATTTAGTATGTTGAATGTTCAGTGTAATAGAACTAGTTGGGATTTTAAACAACAACAACCAAACCTTACTCCTAAAAGGGGATTTTAAACAACAACCAAACCTTACTCCTAAAAGGGGATTTTAAACAACAACAACCAAACCTTACTCCTAAAAGGGGATTTTAAACAACAACAACCAAACCTTACTCCTAAAAGAGGATTTTAAACAACAACAACCAAACTTTACTCCTAAAAGGGGATTTTAAAATGCAATCTATTTCATTTCATTGGTTGAAATCATCGTCATCATCATCATTACCCAGCGCCGCAAAGGCTCCCACCTACGGTGGGGTAAGGGGGTCGGATGTATGGAGTCTTACCCCTATACTAAAGCATAAAGAGACTGTTTCCAAATGACCCATAGTGAAAATCGCGTTGAAAATTGCATAGATTGACTGTTACTTCATAACAAAGAAGCGCAGACAGTTTAGTGAGTCATTTTGCTTAATTCCATCATATTCTCAAGCCAAAAAATAGTGAGTCTTTGGCTCCATAGAAAATGATGGAAACATTTCATTGGTTGAAATGACTAAATAAAATCTGGACATGTCTACAATACAATCTTTGTTTGTTTTTTGAAAAATAAAAAGAGATGGAATAGTAGAAAAAGGGCATTTTGTGTGTTATTTGATACTAAAGAAATGAAGAAGAAATGGGTGGAAGTTGGGAAGAGATTCATTTCTCTTCTATTTCTGTAGAGGAGGGCGAAGAAATAAAAGGGAGGTGGGCCCACCATTTTCATTTTTATCCTTCTCTTCTCACCAAATAAAAAAATGCATTCCTCTCCTATTTATCTCCCTATATTCTCCCCCTTCAGTTTTACCTTAACCCTAATAAAGGCTAAGTCACTTATTTTGATCTCTTAATTGTATGATTGATGCGTACTTTCTAATTTCAGACCTTTGCCTCCCCTTCCTGATATGGAGATTTCAGAGGAATGCATTGCAAATGCTGGTGAAGTAATGCGTGTGTGGGTTAACCATGTTCTTGCAATTGCTCACGACATTGCTATAGGAGGCAATGTTAGGCTTTTTGTTCAGGTCTTATACATCTCGTTGTTTTATTTCCAGAGATCCATTCATGAATCTGCTTCTTTAATTTTGTATGGGTCTGGCAGGTTGCTTTTGCCTTGTGGGCGATATCCTATGTTGGAAGCTTCTTCAACTTTCTGACGCTGGTCTACCTGGGTAAGCTGTCTAGCTGGTTGTTTTCTGCCATCATTTTGGAGCATTTCCCCCCTACATTTTTAAGGGACAGTCCGGGCCCTGGAAAAGACTAGGGGAATTGTTATAGGATATCAGATAACGTTGTGGAAAATTAGGAGTCGAGAAAATGCAAAGGAAAATAAATTGTAGCTAGGGTCTTTCGATATTTGTCGATACTAATTTTATATATATGTCTGTCTGTTATATACAGACAAAGAAACAAAATATATGTAAAATTAATAGAAACACTTTTCACATTGGGGTTTCCTTGCATTTTTTTTTGGCAAAATGGTGAAAACCTAATATTAGAACACAGCTTTTCTCAGAAATCCTTCCCTTTCCCTAGTATTTTCCATGATTCAAACATACCCTAAGAAAATTGTGTTGTTTCAGGAGTTCTTTTCAGTCTAGCAATACCACCACTATATGAGAAATGCCAAGATCAGATTGATGATAAGCTTGTTTTGGCTCATAACGTCATCCTATCGCAGTATAGGAAAATTGATGATACAATTTTGAAAAAGATTCCCATGCATCTAAACAAAGACAAGAAGATTGAGTAGTTAAAAAAAGGTGCTTGCTTTATCTATCCCTCTTTCAAGTGATTCTACTTTAATAGAGTACCATAAAGGGGCCCATACGTTACAGCCTTGTTCTAGATTTCGCAGCACAAAATGTGTAGCATTGTTAGTGTTTAATGTAAGTATCACGGATGCAAATTTTTCTTTCTATCATGGGTAGTAGGTTAAATTGCTAAAGCTACATTTTATTGGCAATACACACGCACTAACGGTAGTCTCCTGTTCTTGTTGAAATGTAATCTTTCTCAATGTCGGATTGAAACAAAAAGTGTAAAATGTTTATGCTGATAGGAATCTGGCTATTAATAAGAAATAATAATAATATTAGTAAGGGTACTTGTAGTAGTATTATTAGAAGGGAAGGGGTATTAGTAATATCGGGCATATCCTGATGGATAATAGCTATAAATAGAAGGGGGGATAACTATTGTAGGCAGACTGTTATTTTGATGTACTGTTGCCTTGAGAGTCCGGTTGCCGAAGTTGCCCTGTTGCCTAAATCGAGACATTCACTATCAATATACGCCTATTTCCCTCTTTGTTATCAGATCTGTGTGTTCTTCCATTACTTTTGGACTGGATTATTAGCAGGTTCCTAACATTGGTATCAGAGCATTCGCTCCTGGAGTCTTAATCGATCGTCACATCTCTATCGCTGAAGAGGAAAATTGATTGCTGCGATGCTGAGATATGAACGAATGAAGAGGGTCGCTGAGCAGAGCAGAGAACCACGACGGTCAGAACTGGACGCCTTTGGTTCGAACCCGGAGATGAAATCCGTGACGGAAAAAGCTGCGATGAACTTGGCGATGCTACAGGAGACAGTCGCGAAGATGAACAGTAACCAAAATCGACCGAGGAATCAATCGTTCACATCGCGCAGCTCACAACACTCTTCACATCGAACTTCGCATCTCTGAGACGCTAGAAATTCTGATCCTCCTCGTTCTAGTGTGGATCTAGATAACAGGGGCCGTACGAGAATAAAGGTTGAACTACCGTTGTTTAACGGGGATGGGGATGAGGATGATGTAGGCAGTTGGATTGTGAGGATGGAAGAGTACTTCCGTATCAAAGCTATTGCGGAAAAACTTAAGGTAGAAGTCGCATCCGAGGCTATGGAGGATAATGCGCTTTACTGGTTTGAAGGGTGGGAATTTCGAATGAGAGGAAAGAGTTGGGAAGTTCTGAAGGAGGACATAAGTTGGCGTTTCCAACAACGCAGTCGGAAGTCAGAGAACCAGGAGTCGCGATCGTCAAGGAATTCTCACAGTTCGCAATCGCGAACTTCATCTTCCCGTTCGCTGACTCCATCTCTAGTTTCGCCCAGTTCTCAATTGCTAACCACATCGTCTCCCAGTTCGTTGCGATGGAGAGGAGAAGCTTCCCGTTCGCTGATGTCACTGCAAACCGTGTCAGCTTCTTCGCTAAAGGTAGTTTCCAGTTCTGAGGTGTCGTTGCCAGAGGATTCATGCAGGGCGAAAACATCCTCGTTCTGGCATGAACCATCATCTTCCATTGACACGGCACTTGTCGAATCAGGAAATAGAAGGCTGGAGAATCCACAGTTGCTGATGAACAATGAGTCGAGGCCAGCTGAACTTGTTATTAAGGAACCGGATCCGGAGGACAAGAACGAGGAGCATCAGCCAAACACCAAGGTTTCTGGAATGCAAAGTATGAGGCTGTGTGCAGTTAATGTCAGTCCGGTTGAGGAGAATGCCGAAACATTGTCATGTTCAACAGTTCTCAGCTATGGGGACCACTTTGAATCAGAAAATGGATCACCGGAAACTCAGCCACCTACGCTGACCCCTGAGTTGAAGCCGGTTACACCATCAGTTACAGAATCAGATCTGGAAGAGGAGGTTAATCAACCTACAGGATTTTTATCCGACAATAGGGAAGGTTTCGAAGGGGGTAAATCAAATATCCTTGCCTATGATGATATTGGGTATGCTATTGCACTGTTAGGGACCCGGCCCAATAGAGTATTAATAATAATAAGTGTACAAGCTGAGTATAAATAGAATAAGTTTGGGCAGGTAGAGGGGGCTGTTTTAGACTTTGTCATTTGGGACTTGGGAAGATCGAGAACTATCTCTTTCTTTTGGGGGGCTTCGGCTCATTGGGACTCTTGTACGGTTTTCCTCCATTAATGAAAATTTCTGTTGCTTGAGTTTGTTTCTTGCCTACTGTAATTGTTCTGTACCGGTGAGGTCCTTATCATTGGTATCAGAGAGTAGATTCTGTGGATGGTCTGGACACGGACAAAAATGGATTTGCGGATGACTGCGGTGGAAGATAACCAAAACCGACTGGAGGAGAAGGTGGATCGGAATCAGCAACAGACTACAGATATGTTGACAGTGATTATGGCCAGATTGGATGCAAAAGATCAAGATTGATCGAGAAGTAGATCGCATCGCTCATCTGCATCGCATCACACATCTGCATCGCATCGCACTTCTTACCCTAATCATTCGCCTCACCATCACCGTTCACCTCACCATCACCGTTCGCGACAATCAACGAGTTCAGAGGGATCAGATAATAATTCCGAGTATTCTCCTCCACGTCGACACCAACATCGCCATCATCACAGGGAACGTCATCATCATCACAGGTAGAATGGATCGTTACTTTCGCTTGAGAAGAATTGGGAGATTTTCAAGGAAGCTCTAATTAAACGTTTTCAACTAGATTTTGTACAGGATCCATTGGGACCTCTGCTTAGTTTGAAGCAAAGAGGATCAGTAAGGGAATTCAGGGATCAATTTGAAGTAGCTATTTCTTCCCAAAGACATCTAAGTGAGCAAGTATTGAAGGGAGTATTTCTGAAGGGACTTAAACGTGACATCAGGGCTGAGTTGAAGCTACACACTACCAGAACTCTGGCTAAGGTCATGGACACAACCTCTTTGATTGAAAACAAGAATAATGAAGTCTTGATCAAGAAGAATAAAGATGAAGGCAAGAAGAGGTGACCAGGAAAAGCAGGGAATGAAGGCCATCTTCAAAATGGGGGAGATAGCAGTAGATGGAGGAATAGTCCTATTACTACTACAAGTGCTGGCAAGATCATCAATGAAATTAAGCCAATGGATAAGGAGGAGGAACCAGCCAATTATGTTCAAAAGAAGATAAGTCCCAGATTAACACAACATGAACTGCAGGAGATGAGTAGGAAAGGCTTATGTTTCAAGTGTGGGGAAAACTGGAACCGAGGGCATATCTGCAAAATGAAACACTACAAATTTGTTCTTGTGGAAAATTCTGAAGAAGAAGAATCTGAATCTATCAGGGAGGATACCAAGGAAGAAGAGGAAATTGAAATGGAATTCAAAATCTATCAGGGAGGATACCAAGGAATAAGGAAGAGATTCTAAGCATGAAAACCTTCAAGATCAAAGGAATATTGAAGTGGGAATCTGGATAAAAGGAGGTTGAAATCCTTATAGATAATGGTGCAACCCATAACTTCATTTCTCGGGAATTATTGAAGAAATGGGAGTTACCATACCATAAGATAAAAGGATACTCTGTACAGATAGGTAATGGAGATCAAATCACCAACAATAGAAGATGTGAAGGGTTGGAATTGAAACTGCAAGGGTTGAAAATACAGCAACCTTTCTATATTCTAGAATGGGGGGGAACAGATATGGTGTTGGGCATGGAGTGGCTGACAAGCTTGGGAGATACCGAGGTTAACTTCCACTATCAGACCATCAAATGGGAGGTCTAGGGGCAGAAGGTAATCAGACAAGGAGATCCTTCATTCAGTGAACTGGGAATTTATAAGGAGACGAAGAGCCTGGTGAATAGGAATGGAGGAGGAAAATTGCTGAGCTATCAAGGGTTACCTACTGACATTGAAGAAGAGAGTGTTCAAAGGCAAGAGGTTGCTGCCCTCTATGTTGCAGCAGGAATGCAGGATGCACCTTAGCCTCCAAAGAATCTGAGGGAATCAAAATTTTGGATAACGTAGTCTGGCATCTGTATAGCTCTGCTGTGAAATACATAGGGAAGAAGATGGAAGCTGCAAAGCTAAAATTCCAGCAATCAATCCAGTATTGGAAAGGGAGAGGTGCTAGGATGAAAGAAAAGAAGAGGATTGTGGCTGTGTCCTATCACCCACCTTGAGGGCAAGGTGGATGTTTAGGGGGGGAGAATTGTTAGGGACCCGGCCCAATAGAGTATTAATAATAATAAGTGTACAAGCTGAGTATAAATAGAATAAGTTTGGGCAGGTAGAGGGGGCTGTTTTAGACTTTGTCATTTGGGACTTGGGAAGATCGAGAACTATCTCTTTCTTTTGGGGGGCTTCGGCTCATTGGGACTCTTGTACGGTTTTCCTCCATTAATGAAATTTTCTGATGCTTGAGTTTGTTTCTTGCCTACTGTAATTGTTCTGTACTGGTGAGGTCCTTATCATGCACTGGACATAAACCCAAGAGATTTTAAAACTTTGATTGATATAGTTCATGAACCTGGATTGGGTGTTTTAATGGATATTGGGCACAGTCATGCATCAAACCTGACTTTGGAGGGGCTGCATAAGATTGATGGTTTCAGATTTGATAGTGATACTTGTATGAAGTATATTCAAAATGAAATGGGGATTATACTTGCTGGGAATTATAAGAAAGATGTTGGTTTACTTGGTTATACGCTGCCTGTTGACTTCCAGCCTATAATGGAAGGGCTTCCAAAGCTTAAATTGCTCTGTACGGATTGCGTGTCTATGTTGAAATATGGTGCCGGGAAAAGACAATTGCCAGATTATGTTTCTCTTACTCTTGCTGCCAACTTGGAGTTAAGGCCCAACCGAGTATCTATGGTTGGTTTGCTTCTACACCTATGTTCTTTTGGAAGCAGAGTCTTAATTGCTTATGAAATGGGAGTTACTGTCAGTCATAGGTCAATGGAGGTAATGCCAAGGGGAGTTAAAGTTTTTTCTAGATCAGGACTCTCGGAAGAGCAAATTCA